AGATTCACAGCGATCAAGGAAGGAATTTTGAGTCTCAAATATTTCAGGAAACTTGACGAGTTATGGGTACTCATAAAACAAGAACGACTTCTTATCACCCGCAATCTGATAGAATGATAGAACGATTTAATCAGACATTGGAGAGTTACCTAGCAAAAGTTGTAGACAATCGGCAACGAGATTGGCACAAGCACATACAACAGTTTTTGTTGTCATATCGAAGCGCTGTTCACGAAAGTACATCAGTGACACCAGCTTTCGCAAACTTTGGAAGAGAATTACGGCTGCCTGCAGACCTGATCACCGGGATGCCACCTGATGCCCCACGCAGTATAACCGATTATGCAAATGACTTGCGGAACAAAACGAATGACATTTTTGAGCACGTCAGACAATCGAGCCAGCAAATGTCCGAAAAGATGAAAACCCGGTATGACCGCAAAATGAACAACAAAGGGTTTGACGAAGGTTCACTAGTGTGGTTGCACAATCCAGTCCGCAGCAAAGGGAAATCTCCTAAGCTTCAAGCTAAATGGGACGGCCCGTACCGGATTGTGACCAGGATCAACGATGTAACCTACCGGGTATAGAAAGGCGCAATAGGGACTCCTAAGATCGTCCATGTGGATCGCCTGGCCGTTATTATGGGGCCGATAATGCTCGGGACGAGCACGTCTTAGGAGGGGGCAGTGTTGTGCGCCTAAGTTGACGATAGTTACATGGCACTAGCGCCATCTAGTGTCGAGGGCCGGAGCGAGGAGGGCTTCCTAGAAAATGTCAATCTTGAACTTTCGACCAACAGCGCCATCTAGTATCGAACAGAAGAATTAAGCTTTCTAGAAGCCCCACATTCGAACTTTCTGGGTCTGGTCGGTTGACGCCCGTATTTACTGGAATATTCTGGATGTTTCGATGTAAAAGGTGTATTTATAGCCGTTGCAAGCCGCGATTAGGGCGGTATTTAATTTGACGAGACAAGCGAAGCTTCGGAGCGAAATAAAGTGAATCAGTGTGATTAATTATTAGTGTTTTTTTTTAAGTCGAATTTGTTTTTGGTAATAAGTGTAAATTTTGGTAATTCAATCGGCAGTTTTTATTGTCACGGACCTCAAGCTCGTAACAATATCTATTATCTAGTTATTCTATTTATCTATGACTCTGTCTGTAGTCTGTGCTGTGCGGAGTATTTGGCGGGAACTTGGCCGTCGACAGATTGTCACTCCTGTTTTTTCGCTTTAATTTTGAATTAAGGGTACACTAGTCGCTTATTCTTCCATACAAACGTAGTCCGGCGATTACTCCACTGTTTGATGGTGTACGTTCAAAATAAAAATTGATTTCAATTTGTCTCATCATTATTTAGCCCCGTATGGAAACAAAAAAGTAAAAAAAGAGTATGTTTAAAAGTTATAAGCGTCGAAAATTCCGAATTTCAACACTAGTTTTAACACATCTTTGGGCGGAAATAAATACCATAAGAAGAACTTTAATTGCAAAACAGTTACCATACAGGGATAGTGGTTGAATATTTTATATTAGATACCATATAGGGATAGATTTTTCATGACATCCAGACTACCAAAGATCTGTTTATAAAATTTCGCGCGCCCGTTTTTGTTATAAAACATCTTGCCTTTCGCTACAAATTGTTTCCCCGATCAGTGGGGCGGACGGAGGGGGGGGGGGCGCAGCGCACACCCACACATGCTCATTAGGTTAGCCGCTGCTATCTATGGTTGTAATACCTACATATCTACATCTTTATGTAGAAAAATTGTTTCCCTTTTGTTCGTGTCCATTGCTAAAGCCGGGATGAATATAGCTGCTAAAATGTACCCATAAGTTTGTTGAAGAACATTTAGTTAAAATTGAAAACAGGTAGGTATATAATAATGAACTTTCGATACAAGTAGTACATTAGGTACTTAACTACTTTAATTTGCTAACTAAAGAAAACATCTCATAGATAAGCACGATTATCGAAAATCTTAAAATTATCTATTAATTTAATTAGAATAGGTAATTTTTAGATTTTCGATAATCGTCCTTATGTATAGGAATCTCATATCCTAATATACCTAATGTAATGTATGTAAGTACATAAGAATCTAAGAAGGGCAGTCAATGATAAATAAAATTTGTTTTGTAAGTTGTTTTTTTAAAAAACAAACACAACAAAAACATGAAACTGAGAAGAAGAACCCGATCTGCCGAAACAAACTCAGCGAGGTCAGTCCAGGTATTACATTGATCATGTCATACGAGAACCAGGCAGGTGGATAATGGTCCTTTGAAGAAAGAACCATACAGATGTGAGTGCACAACCAAGTACTTTTTAGGATTCCGTACCCGAAGGGTAACCAGCAGGGCCCTATTACGAAGCCTCCGCTGTCCGTGTGTCTGTCTGTCAGCGGACTGTATCTCATGATCCGTAATAGGTAGATGGTTGTAATTTTCACAGAACGTGTATTTCTGTTGCCGCTATAACAGCAAATAGTAAAAATAAATTTGAAATTAAAGGATTTTCTACTAGAAAAAGAAACGTGTATTTTTGGCTTTTTTTGATCGATAGTAATATGTAGTCCGATTCGCATTTCGCAAAATATTTGTTTATATTTAACCTTACCTCAGACATACTCATATTTTTTATATATAATTTACTATACTACTATATAAGCTACTACTAAATAAAATAGTAGTAGCTTTGCTATGGTATTATAGTATATTTTGGATTAGATTTAATTTATTACAGAATAGTACAAACTATATAAAAACTAAGGAGCGCATCAACCTACCTCAGATATTGGGTTATGAATACAGATAAGTACACATAGGATTTAGTTTCTAAGTTGTACATATTTTATAGCCTTCGTTATGCATAGCATAAACAGGCCAAGCCCCCTAGCCTACAAACGTTTCTTAAGGAATCTCTTTCTACACTCGCGCCGTTTGTTTGTTTGGACTGACCAGCTGACTCGTTCAGTGATGTCATTCCCATACAGTGTTTAGTTTTCAACTAGCGTTATCTATCATAATATAAATCAAAATTTTATTTATATTTCGCTAATCGTGTCTGTACTGTGAATTTGATTTAAAATCGATCTCTGAATTGTAGTTTTCTTCTAATTACTTACCTTGTCTAGACGGGTTCTTTGGACTTCTGTAAGGAAGTCTGTGCTAACAGCACAGACTTCCGTTTATATACGTTACCATTTTGATAGACGTTTGTGCTTGTCCCTGCAGTGACACAATGCCTATAGTTGATAACTTTCTAAGTACTAAGAGAATACTGCAAACCGCTATTGAACACAAAAAATCAGTAAACAATTTACAAACTAACATTTTTTATTTATTTCATTAACCTATATAAAAGCCCCATTCATACAAAATCGCGCTGTCGAAAAAGCAGTTATCCTGACATTGGCAGGCATATGCTTCGGGGAGTTGCCTGTGGGCTATTATAGCTAACTAGCTATGGTAAGTAAATACCTATTTAGAATATATAGTACCTACAGTAATATTTGCACAATAAAATACAAAAACATAAAAAAACATTATTATGTTACACTTTTTCTGTTTGTTTTAGAAATGGTTATATTTTTTTCAAAAAAGCATTTATGTTACCATTTTTAGTTGAGAGTTATGTCCCTTTAGTGGGTACAGGCGTGATATTATATTGTGTGATTGCGTAAAGAATGCATAGATAGGCGATAGCAGCAATCGCGGCTGATTTGCTGTCATTTATTAAAGATTGCCCCCGATTTCTCCAAGATCCCATCATCAGATCCTGACCTGACCATAATCGATTACTGTGGGATCATCTGGAAAATATATCCTTTCAAACAAAAAAATAATTTTCCAAATCGGTTCAGGCATCTTCGAGAAATCGGGGAACAACATACATAAACAATAACCAACGAATTGAGAAACACCTCCTTTTTTCGAAGTCGGTTAAAAAGTAGGTAAAAACAAATCAATGAAATTATTATACAATAACAACATCTACTTAAGTTCATATAAGAACTTTCATAATAACAACTACCTAAATTGGGTTCATAATAATTACGTTTCACACAGCAGATCCTAAGTTATAATAACACCAGTATGTTTTCTCTATCCTTTCTCTTTTTAAAATACGTTACCCCCATAATAGGATTTTCTCCAGTATCGTGGAGGCAGTTTACCAACATAAATTGCATAAGGACAAACATCCAGACCCGGTACAACTATTTGTAGGCCATACAAATATTTGTTCCGTGCGGGATTCGAACCCGCGGCCTCCAGCGCAGCCAGCCACTCATTGCTAAGCCACTGCGCCACGGAGCTCAAAATTGCCGTTTGAGTTTATGTTATTATTCAAAAATGAATCGCAAAGGTAGGTACGCGATGACGCCGTCGCGCATTGGGTCACTCGAGTGGGTATGTGTATGCGCACTAGCTTCTTATTGCTCCCTTTCCTATATCCCTTTCGCACGTAATGTCGGCTGAGATAGCATGCATTTTTACCCCAGCCACCACTTAGTTCGTGCCATCGACTAGGGCCATCTTAAGTGTCTGCGCGTGTGAACTATTAGAGAAAACGACGAAACAAGTGGTTTGATGATGGTATAAACCTCAGATTATTTTGATCGCTTGGGCGCCTTAAGAACTTGAGTGGCTGTCGTCATCAACTGTCTGCTGGGTTGAGCTGTCGTCAAAATCTCCCAAAAACTTCGCAATGTGATGCATCAGCATATTGTGAGAAAAAATATATAAAAAAGAAGATTACGGAAGAAATGATAGGCTCAGAAGGGCTGGAACCCAGAGCCGTAAAACCAGTTAAATAAAAAAAAACTCTGCTGTGCTGTGCGTAACCATAGATAAATGCGTAACTCATATTTATTTATCTATGGCGTAACTTTTATCTTCTTATCTTATGATTTATTTAGTAAATACAAATTACAAATAGTAATTAAAATGATATGTGTTTGGAATGAATTAAATATGTAAATTCCAAATAGTTTCTTATCTGTTCCTTTGATTTCTTTTAAGTTTACCTATTTCAAATATGTAACACATTATGTATTTACTGAAAATCACATGTAAGTGGAACGCAAAATAATAAACATAAATTTTGCTTATAAACCGAATAATTGTAGAATGCAGGCTACCAAATTAAAGCTTCCTTTCCATTTCTTTCGGATGCCATACGTTACAAATACAAAGAGTAAAATATCTAGATTAATACCAAAGGCTTTTTATAATTCTACGACTCTTGACACCGTTGATCTCTTTACAAATGATTTATTACAACAGCAAAGAACAAAATCACAACAAAACAACAGGTTATTTGGTGATAATGATATTAAATGTTATTCTAGTGATACGGAAACAAGTAAAACTAAAGAATATACAGAAATGAGTTGTGAGCAGATTGACAATGTCATTTTGGATCTTCTTGCAAGAAATAAAGACAAACAAATTACTGAATTGATAAAAACTTGCAGTGATTATCGCAAGTTAGTAAGTGAAAATACATTGAAGAAATTATTCAGAAGTTATAGTATAACAGGCAAAACTGACAAAGTGATACTTCTTCAAAAATATTGTTCCGTTGTGGATCCAAATCTTTATAAGCTCAATGGAGAATTTATGCACTACTTAGCCAAAGCACATTGTTATAAAGGAAACTCTGAGAAAGGTCTTTCAATACTTTCTCACTGTTATAAGAAGTATGATGGTTTGAGAGGTTTTTATAGGATAATATTTAGAGAATTAATCCAAGACTCTGTTTTAAATCGATCAGAGGCTACTTTAGTCATTTTCAAGAAGTATGTTTTAGAATTTAGTAACAAGTTTGATGATAACTATCCTCTCATCTGTTTTTGGTACATATGCTGGTCAAGTACTTGGTTCTCTGATCAAATGTTAGCCAATGAATTATTGGAGTCCTCTGAAAAGTTACAAAATATAGTAAGAGATAAGTAAGTTTCTTGATTTATGACATATTTATTATTTATACTTTATTGCTATCTACCTGAAGCTAAGGTTTAGGGGAGTCTTAATACCTAATGGCAGTCATAATTTAGTAAACTAAAAATAGTTTATATGTACTTTTTCATTTTCAGAGCAACAACATTTAGTATTAACATTTTAAGAGAATACAATGATGATGCTGTGCTGCGATTACTACAGTCACTACTCAAGTATAAAATGATGTCAGATTATGTAAAAGTGTTACAAGTTTTATTTGGTTACAAATGTAAGTCGATGTTTTTTTAATAGGTTTTGCAATTTCGTTAGAGATTGCATTCATATCGAGGGTAGAAGTGGGAAGGATATTATCCATGTGGTAGGGCCACGCTGCAGCTATATTATAGTTGTAGTACGAATGGGTCAGCTCAACAGGGGTGGGACCACGCTCTCACAGAATACCAGCGTAAAATAGCAGCATAATGCTGCTGTGTTTCGTATAGTGAATGTAGAGAACCTTAGACCCTTTTTACTTAAATCGAGGTATTCCATCTTAGTCCTCAGGAGTGACAACACATTTGCTTTTTATTTGTAATTGAAGATTAATGTAGACGTCTATGGGCCACAGCATCCACTTACCATCAGGTAGACTATGTGCTTGTTTGTCACTCAATGCTAAAAAAAATTTTATTTTTGTAAACATTACATTTTTTCCTAAAATCCTTTTTTTACATAGTAGAGCCATGGTGCAGCTATATTATGGTTGTAGCATGAATGGGACGGCTTGACTGGAGTAGGACTATACTCTCACAGTAACACTGGTATAAAATAGTAACTTAATGCTTAATGTCCTCATGGGTGACAATGCATCTGCATTTTTATTCTTAATTTAGTGTAGATGTCTATGGGCCACAGTATCCAATTACCTTTTGGTGAACTGTGTGCTTATTTCTCACCATGATTCTATGAAAGAAATTCTTAAACTGTAATGAATTAATATAATGCAGCTACTGAAACTATGGTTGCATTCAAATTGAAAGTTAAAAAATGTAAGAGCCACTATCATAAACTGTGAGTTATCCCATCTAAGACGTTTGCAGTAACAGCACACCTGTAGCTTTCTTTCTTTGAAGTTTTGATGATTGCATAAAGGGATCCATCACTTCATTTTGTCATATGGCGTTTTAAGAGGTGACTATGGTTATTAAACCAAATGGACCACATTCAAAAAATGACATCAGAGTGCACAAGCTCCATAGCAGTAGCCTAATTTGTAGGATCTATAGAAGTGCTCAACATTCTTGGAAACTCATTCAAAACTCATATAAATCTCAATTCAACTTTTATCGGTAAAGAGAAAAATCCCATAATTTATATGAAATATGGTCTCTGTTTCCATTTTATGTTTTTGGTGGGAAATCACCAAATTTAAAAAAAATACACTTTTATTAATCTTAATGATCGATAACTAATAAATAGTGATCGATGCTCTTAATACATACATAATTTTCCAAATTTTTCTTGCATTAATAATTCTGTTTTCTACTTTTTCTATTATTTGAAATTAATTTCGACACCAAATATTATAGATAATCTGTAGTGATTGAATAAAACTAAATTTACGGATTTTATCGCGTTTATTTCACTACTTTTACTTATTTTTAATTACCGACGTTTCGGGTGCTTTACAGCAACCATGGTCATGGGGGGACTGAGATGTTTGACGTCCCAATGTCATTGTTAGCGCAGGCTACCTTCAGTTTTTGAATATTAATTTTTGGTCCGATTTACGCAAAACGAACTTACATTGAATAAAACGTAAATCGGACCAAAAATTAATATTCAAAAACTGAAGGTAGCCGGGCTAACAATGACATTGGGACGTCAAACATCTCAGTCCCCCCCATGACCATGGTTGCTGTAAAGCACCCAAAACGTCGGGAATTAAAAATAAGTAAAAGTAGTGAAATAAACGCGATAATATCCGTAAATTTAGTTTTATTCAATTTGTAGTGTTCGCGTAAATTTAAGAAATCATTATAATCTGTAGTTTTCAGATTTTTCCTTTTGTATACTTAATAATCTATTTTGATGACAAATTAAAAATAAGTGGCTTAGGTTTTTATGAATGGATCAGTAAATCGATGTATGTGAGTAAGTGAGATAGTAAGGCGAATCCTTTCTACAATGAAAGGTGTGCCTATCTGTGAACTTTTACGGGCTGTTGATGAACAATGAGGCTATGCAAGACTTTATTTTCGTTTGGCTATGTAGTATAGAGCCGTGGTAGCTCAGATGGTTAGCGCTCGCTGTAAATTTAACAGTATGCGAGCAAACCAGGTTCGATCGCATTTGGCACCAATGAAATTGTTTATTGCAATTTTAAGTGCTGATTTACTACATGCTCGGCGTTGAAGGTTGAATTTTTTTTCGAAGACATGTAAAGTTCGCCAACATGTATTGGGCAATGCGGCGAATACTTCATTGCCCTTAAACCCTCTCAGAAATGAGGGAGGCCTGTGCCCAGCTGTGGGACGTATATAGGCTGTAATGTTAACTTGTTATGTAGTATATTTCACTTAATCTTTAAAAACTATGTTTAGACAAAATTCTGCTGTATTTGTGATAAATTTATGCACAGGACCTGCACTGTTGATAATATTCAATATGTTTTAGTTTCCTCTGTGGCTGAAATTAGCTAGTTAACATTATACATTAGACTTGCAATGAATAGTTTATTCGATCACACGCCGAATACTGAATACTCTGCGGACTTCCTGGCTGATTAGCCGAATATTAGGCAAAAGTATTCAGCTGGGAAGGAAGTAGTGTTTATTCTTCGGAGCACCTATTTTCTGAAGCTGGGATTGTCTACGAGTAGAAAATGAGTAAACTACTGCCTCAAAATGAAGAAACAATAGTCTTTCTGCACTATTATCTTAAACTTTAATTATGATAATTCGAGTGTATAAACATTTATCTGGTAGTTCTTTTTTAATAATTTGGAAGTTGATTAAGTACCTATGATTACTTTAATTATTACAAGAAAGAAAAAATAATTATAAAATAAATATTTTCATTTTACCAATTATTTGAATACAGTAAAACCTCCTAAAGTATTCGGTATTCGACCGAATACCATAAAAGTAGCCAAATAGGCCGAATATCGAATGAAAGTCGAATATCCGTTTCAAATATATTATACCTATATGTAAAACAAAAATCAAGAAAAAAAGTATAACAGTAAAGTTACATCTCTCATTATAGAGAAGATTTTAGGCAAGGATGTGTGTGCCCGCTGCTTCAGCCAAAACTATGCAAATGGCAAAGAACTTCTTTTTGGTTCTTTGTGATTAGTTTTGTCTTTACCACTATTTCTTAAACATTCACAAGATATAATTACTATCGTCATAACGGACCATAAGAGTCCACTGCTGGACCAAGGAGGATATTTGTCGTAATTGCTGCGCTTGGCAGGCTGGTTGGCAACGGCGGTGTTTTTTTTCCTGTTTCAGTTTCCCTCTTTCGCCTCCCACACCTATAACCCATAGGATATGGGGTAGTGGATTCTCTTACACGGCGAAGTAATGTAACTATGCAAGGGGATGCCCATGAGCTACGATGTTAGACAAGCGCTGAGCCCCGACGGTTATAAAATGTATTAGAAATTGATGTACATATATTAAAATAAAAATATTTAATTTTCAGTGAGAAACCGAGATCTTCGAGGTTGCAGAGAAATAATCCTTAATTGTGAAGCATTAGGCCTCTCTTTGCCTGCGGACCAACAAGGACAGTATATCAGATTGCTTATTGACAACAAATTACCAAATGAGAAACCGACCCCTTCGAAAATTGTTTCTAAAGATTTCAAACTTAGGTTTTAATTTTTTTAGCTCTCTGTATATAAAATGTAGTATATAACAGTGATTATTATAAATATGTAAATAAAATAGGTTAGTATATTTATTCTTCAATCATTGGTACACAAAGGAAACAACATAAAAACATTGGGTTTTTACCCTCAATTTAGCGGAGTTATCATAATAATATAAGAGCCGTGGTAGCTCAAGAGCCGTGGTAGCTCAAGAGCCGTGGTAGCTCAAGAGCCGTGGTAGCTCAGATGGATAACGCTCGCTGTAAATATAACAGAACACGAGTAACCCGGGTTCGATCCCCGCCGGCACCAATAAAATTGTTAATTGCAATTTTAAGTGCTGATTTACCACGTGCTCGTCGGTGAAGGAAAACATCGTGAGGAAACCTGCATGTCTGAGATATAAGAAAAAAATATTTCGAAGACATGTGAAGTTCGCCAACACGTATTGGGGCAGCGCGGCGGACGATTTCTTGCCCTAAACCCTCTCAGAAATGAGAGGTGGCCTGTGCCCAGCAGTGGGACGTATATAAGCTGTAACTTTAACTTTTTATCATAATAAAGTGTTTGGATAATAGTCTAACACTGTTTTATTTAGGTTTAGATTTAATCATTTGCATTTATTTATCAATTTCTCTATTTATTAAAGGATACGCCAGGATGATTTGACAGACAGGCAGACTAAAAATCTCAAGTAACTTTTTGGAAAATACCGAGTTAAATAAAATTTAAGTATCTGTGTGTTATGTTGAAAGAACAGATTTTTACCGAATACAAATGAAAGTATATAATACGACACTTGAAAAATGTATTGCAGTGTCAACAGGGTAATACTACTTACTAGACTTTGTAGACTTCTTGACTATAGGTAAATTCGGGTTGATAAATAAAAAAGTATTCATAACAACAGCTGCGCTTGTGGAGTGTTGCGTGTAGGGCAATGTGAATGACTGTGGAGTGAGAGTGGCCAATGTCGGCCTTCTGTTTCGGCGCGTCGTTTATGCCGACTCTAGCGCCGCTTGTGTAGGTGTTCAGGAGACACACAATCTTTAATCGACCAATGAGAGGTCGGAGAGGGAGGGTGTGTGTGTTTTTATGCAGCATTTATTAGTTATAACATAAATAATGTACATACAATGGCTCTTAATCTTATTACTTTCATTTACAAGTAATAAACGTCAACAAACTTACATACTAGGCAATCACATAACATGGGGCTAAAACTTAATTACTTAAATCTAATTAATGGCATACACACATACATATTTACATGCATAATATCATTATATAATAGCTGTTATTTACAATCCGTCATCCTTCGTGCACAAGCACCAGTTTTAATTCGCTGTTGAAATCACAATGTGGTGAGATGGGGACTCGCCCGTCTGGGCCTCATCTAGGTTGGGGGGTTCGATGGGGTCAATAGCCTGGAGTTGATCACATATTCAGCTTTTAGCAACAATGTTTGTAGCGTTTCATCAGAGGGGTATCTCTCTTTCAGGGTGGCTTTTAATGTTGTCTTCACTGATCTGAACAATTGTTCCCAGGCACCGTCCTTGTTTGGGGCACTCGGAGGTATCTTCTTCCAGGTGATCAGTAATGGTTGTTCGGTATGCCATATAAATAACAACGGCTGAATGGTCAGCTGAGTGTTGTTTACTTTTGAGGTACAATGATTTTATTGAACTAAAGCAAAGATCACTTTACAAAGGATATGGATTGTTTAAAAAAAATTATACAAGTTTGAATATTAGTTTGAACTTAGCATTTAGTCTTATTTTATTACTCACTTGATATATGACTTTTAAAATTAGAACATAAAAGTGAATGAAATAGCTACTAATCCATCAAAAAGCGAAAAGGAAGGGATCCCAAAAGAATCTAGCCGAAAAGAGCGGAAAATTACAAAACCAGGAAAAAAATATAAGTGATGAAAATGTGCAAGATTTTGAAAATCAGAAATGAATATTGGTGATAAAAATGTGCAAGATCTTTTTGACTACTAGTAACTCTCTGATCTAAGAACGATATTGGTGTTCAGCAAAAGGACGGTAATACCGAAGCGGAAAGAAATTTAGAAAATATGAAGTTTGAGAAATATGTGGGCTTGTGGCCAGTATTGCTAAATGATGATTTTATTAACGACTGCCTCTCACATGAAATGACTTAATTTCAAAACAAAGATCCAAAAATTGTATTCAGCTAGAAAGGTATTTTATTAAGAAAATGAAAAATGGCCATGGAAAGATCTTGTTTATGTTATTCAACAAGGGTTGGTTCTGTTTTTTTGTTTGACTTTTTTCTAAAACCCCTTCTCAATACACAACCGGATTTTCTGATTGAAAACTCATAGGCACTTGCTTAGGATGACTATGGCGGGTAACTACAATGGTGTACAAGCATTATTAAAACAAAAAAATAATTCGCGGATTATATGCTGTGTACTGTGCATTCCCTTAACCTAGTTGGTTGGTAGAAGATCCGTGATGATTGCAACCGAAATTATAACCTTTTATGGAGTAGTGCAAAAAATATACGTTTTATTTTCTGCTTCTACCCATAGGTCGGAATTGTTAAATCGTGAAACAAAACTAAAATTTACCTTTAAAAGTTTAAGACAGACCAGATGGTCTTGTTACTATTATGCTGTCAAAGTTTTAAGAAACGATTATTATGACATTATAAAAATTTTCAAAAGTTTCAGCGAATAATGAGTATAAAAAATTTTATATCCGAAAAGAGGCGCGTAATTTATTTAATAAACTGGTGAAACTCGAAACTGCAATTGAAATTATTTTTTTTAAAGAAATTTTGGAGAGCTTTAATTTAATTAACAAAAAAAAACCAACCTGATTAAGATATTTGTGAAGGCAATAAGTGAATTGTCATTAAAATGGTTTGTGAATAACATACGGCAATAATCAGATCAGAAGCTAAAAGAATACGAAAAGAAAGCTAAAAAATTAAGAATTGTATGGGAATAGACTACAGTGACACAAATAAGAGATGCATTACATCAAAATTTTCAGATACAGATAGCCTCAGTACATGGCGAAGGGGGAAGAGGCTGCTCGCGTCCGTAGGAAATACTTGAAATCTGACTCCCTACACGTGTCCCCTGGGTAGTGCTAAACAAGCAGCACCAATGTCGGTGGTAGGTTTCGGCCGCTGGTTTTTGGTTACCATCTACCAAAGCAAAGTCTTGTCGCCAAATGACGTTGTCGTGTTCCGGCATGATGCTTGGTGAAGCCATATGGAGAATGGATCTGAACAGTAGCGTTGTGTGTGTGAACCGGGTGCGAAGCTTCAGTTGTTGCTGTGTCGGGTGCTTGGTTGTGGAGAGAAGCAGGATCCGAAGCACGGTGTTCCGCTGGCCGACCGCAGGTAGTTGGGGGCCCAATTAGTGAATTAGCTACTCATGGAAGGCTGCCCCGCCAACCAGCGAAAAATCTCTGGGTGGTTCTATCGTGCCGGTTAGTGACCGGACGAGAGGACCCGATGGCGATCTCGGGGGGGGGGGGGGGTGTCGGGCGTCCCCTTAGTCTCCAGTTAAAGTTCCCATGGGCGCAGTAGCACTGGCAGTATCGTTGCTAATGGAAAGCCTCTTTCAACTGCCATTCTCCATCCATATACACTCTTAACTCTAATATGTGTAAAAAAAGAAAAGTTTGGCTAAACAGCGGTTGCACGTCCTCTCGTTAAAAGTGCACCTCACTAATATTCGAGGATTGCACTCTAATCATAGCGCAGTCCATCACCATCTTGAGACTGAAATGCCGCACCTACTTTTCTTGACAGAGACCCAAATTGGATGTCCATTGAATGCGGCGTATCTTGACTATCTTCAATTCTCCTCGGAGCACCAATTCCAGCCGGTGTCTGTGTGTACGTCGGCAATGACATCTGCTTCCAGCGTCTCCGCTACCTTGAAGACCCCACTTTTTCGAAAATATGGGTAATGGTAGGAACAGGTATTGAAAAAATCCTATATGCCTGTGTATCGATCGCACAGCGGTGACCAGGAGACAACACGATTATTTGATCACCTTTGTGAGGCTGCTGATGTGGCCCTTAGTCGGTATCCTACTGCACAGCTGGTCTTTCTGGGGTACTTTAACGCCTGTCACCAAGACTGGCTGTTCCCATACCAGAAGACCGACCATGCTGGAAGAGACGCGTGGAATTTTGCCTTAACGCTAGGTGTTTCTATACATCACTATAAAAAACAGTTTTTTTTCTGACAAAATGGCACTTGAGAAATTAAGTAGGCCCCTTAAGTAGTATTAGCCTAGGGCACCACAAATTCACGTTCCGGCCCTGGTAATGTTGAAGTTGTATTATGGTTATATCACAAATGGTTCAGCTCGACCATGGCAGAACTACACTCTCACAGAATTCAAGCTTGAAATAGTAGCTTAATGCTGCTGTTTTTCTTGTGGTGAGTTGAACCGAGAACCCTTTTTACTGGAAATGAGGCATTTTGGTCCTTAATCGAGGATAGTTGTAGAGGTTTTTGGGGCCATCCACTTACCAGTAGGTAGAATGTTTGCTCGTTTGTCACGTTATTTTAGAAAAAAGACAAACCGTTCGCCTTTAAGTGGATGTTGTGGACCATAACATACCTTACACATAATACATACATCATAAATAATCGTAATGCAGATGCACTATCACACTTAGGAGTTAACGTGTCATGTCATGTGTAATGGTTTTCAACAATATTTAACCAAGTTTCATACTATTTAAATTGCAGTCAGGTCAAGAATAGAATATTTTTCAACAGGTAAGTACTATGAAGAACCCGGTCCTGGATTCGAATGCATTCAGCCAGAGCTAACAATTGGGCCAAGAAATATTGAATAATAATAAGTTGTTATATTAATTTCTTAACTTTTACATCAGGTACAGGTCACAGGTTTTTTTTATAGAATAAGGTAATAAGGGTGACAAACGAGCACACAGTCCACCTGATAGGTATCACAGTCACTCCATGGCGATACGAAGTCGATA